ACAACTAAAATTGTTAATCATTCCATTTCTGTACCACTAACTAAACTTATTTTTTCACCATGATGTACATTTTTCTGATTTTACTGGGTTTTTTTTTCCCCCTTCATTTGAGATTATTGAAATGCAGTGTATAGATTTGGGTTAAAAACTTGGACACAAACCAGAATATCGTAGAGTTTGTCCCATTCTCTTCTTAATTTAAAGAGAATGGGTTGCAGCTGAGAATATCACATATATACTGACTTGTTCCTTTCATGTTAATGGTAATTCAGGGACTTCACCAGAGAGGCAATTAGTCTTTAGAGCACCTGAAAAAGGGAAAAAATATTGTTGTAAGAGTGGGACTCTGAGGTCTGGATCCTATGGCACTTTCTCTTGCTTTGACCCTTTTTTTTAATAAAAAAATATTTATTCATACAAGAACTGGGGTACAGGCCAGAAATGTGGGTAGTGAGAGGTTTCACCAGAGACAGAGTGGGGAACAGAACAGACAGATTGACTGAAATACACTGCTGAGGGGAGCAGCAGGCGAGATTGGAGAGGTCTGCTTTGCCATGTGGGTAGCTACCCTGGCCAGGGATTGAACTCATGCTGCAGTGGCAGCAAATAGCTTCATAGGTTGTGTCTCAATCCCTTGTGCCACCAGGGAGGCTCACTTCCACACTTCCTTTTCAAAAATATTTTAGAGAATAATTGCCAGTTATGCAGCTAGTGATGCTATTTACTTAAGATTTTCTTTTTTTAAAGGAGTTGGAGGAAGCAGGGAATAATTTAGCAAAGTGTTTATTAATAAAAATTGGACTTTATAATATCTTTTGGCATAGTATTTTGTCCTCAATAGCTTGTTAATTTTTTATTACAAAAGAAGTTATTTTTCAAAAACCAACTTCTATCTGAACAAGGATTAAAAGTTTTAGCAATTTTACATTTTGTATATACAATAAAAATGTAGGGCATATATAAAAATCAGGTTTGTAAATAACATCAAAATGGATTTATTTTTTGTAACTGTATCCTGTAAAATGAGGTAAGAAAAAAAATTTAACTGCAATAGCTTGAGAGATTTGGGGAATTATTTTCAGAATATTGATAAATGGAAAATTGCATTTCTACTGTTTTCCACTTTTTTCCCAAAAGCATGCAGATAAAGAAAGTTAATTTTTATATGAGAGTGATTTTTAAACCACAAATGGATTGGAGATTTTCTTCTATAGTGGCCAATTTTTGTATGAAGCAAATTATTTTAGGCCTAATTGCAGTCAGAATAGTAAGCTGCCAGCTCTGCTAGGGTTGAATTTCATTTGAACTTTTTAATAGTATGATCCTTTTTTTTTTAAGAATTTAATAACTGAGTCAAATATTTAATAGTGGAAGCTTTCATTAAATTAAAAAGAAATCTGGCTATATTTTTAGAAGAACAAACTTATTTTCCTTATCAGTTTTATCTACTTTAGGAGAAAAGGAAAAGAAAGGAACCAATATTTTCATGTACTGAAATAGACTTTTGATGCTATAACCCCCACAAATATTTTCTTTCAGCATATATCATCATTCAAAAGATTTGGAGAGGGCCAAATGGCACATTAATAACTATACTTCTAGCTCTACTGAATAGGAGAGTTAACTAACTGTGCACCTCTTCATTTGTCTGAGAGGTTATCATTCCTTTTAATGATCAAATATATTTTCTAGGTCATTTTTAGGCTGCATAGTGTCAACTTTTGAATTGCCTAAGTGCTTACCCCTAAGTACAATTACTTGTTTTGTAATGCAAGTGGAGGATGATGAGAGTTGAAAGATTTTTCCCATGTGTCTTTCTATAAATAGATGACAAAAGATCCTTAAATGGATTAATTTACTAGCATCCTTAGAAATAGAAATTTTTACATAAAAGCATGTTGTAAACCCTTTTAATTAAATTGCATTGTACCATGCACTCTCTTGCCCCCAGGGTTCTCTTGACCTCTCACCTCTTATTTTGTCCAACAGGCACTCCTCTGCTGGTGAGGCGAAGCAGTGACCCAGCCCCAGGCCTGCCTGCTGATGCCCAGTCAAGCACTTCACACCCCAGTGGCCAGGGTCTGAAACCTGTTATTCCAGTAGGTACCCTGCTGTTTGCATTTCTAATGAAAGATCAAAGCGCCTTACCCATAGACTAACTGGGACTTTGTAGTGTTCAGTAAGTTGATAAAGATCTTTTGATAGGCTATATAGTATTAATTATAATAATAGCTAGTATGAGCAATTACTAGTATATAGTTGTAGTGATAGTTCTTACTTACATTGCACTAATTATTAGCCAAACACCACTTTAAGTCATTTAAATTTCCACATTAAGGTAATAGGAAGTTTTTTGTCTCCATTTTACTGATAATGAAATTGAGGCAGAGGAATTTTGGTGATTTGTCCAAGGTCACAGCTTAGACTTTAACTCTGGTGAAATTTGGTCTGGCTCCAGAATCCACAGTCTTAACCAGTGCACTATATGTTTATACTGTTAGATTTTCTTCCTCTTACTGCTTCATAATGACCAAGGATATAAGATATGTGTGTGCTTATGTGTATGTATATAAAACTACAATTTGCTGATTATTTCTACAATGTAAATGCACCCTAAAATGAGAGTATATATATTTAATCTGGTGTTTTAATACAATGTTTTATGAATCATACCATGATGAATAGCAGCATAATTTCAAAATACCATTGCTATTGATATGTGGTGCAGTATTGGGTTTCTAGAGACCAACATTCAACTGAAAAAAAAAATCAGGTTATACATCAAAAGTAATTTTAAATAGATATACCTGCTATACATATAACTGATAGGTTAAGCAGAGAATAGTCTCCTGAAGAAATGATAATAACGATTTAATGTTGCAATAGGTGAACTTCAATAATACAACCATATTAAAATTTTTTCCTGAAACAAGGATTTTTTCTCATTTTTAGTCTCATTGTCTATAACTGCTTGAGGGAAAAAATGCAACATTTTATAGGCATATCATATAGGGATTCTGAATGTGCTAAATGGATTCTCCCAGTTTGGTATAAATTATTCTTATTAAGAACTATCTCCGATGTGTAGAGGTAGGAGTTAGTATACAAAGTCTTTGTGTATTTACTAATAGATTGTGACAAATTTTTGACATATATCTTTTTGTAAACAAAGAGGCATGTGTCTTGAAAGTATTTTTGATGTAATACTTTCTCACTCCCTCCCCATCATTTTAAGCAAACATATTCAATCAAACATTGCTTTAATAAAAAATAATGTATATGTGTTCTACTTTAATGATAAATACAGATAGAACTACTGTGTGATTTGATGTGTGTGTTTAATGCAAATTGATTGAGACCATGTAGAGCCTATATATTGTGTTTTAGAGGAAGAGATATAATGAAAGCAGAATTTCTTAAAAGAGAAAAAGTACATTTTGATGATTATTTCTACAATAATGTAAATATACCCTGAAATGAGAGTATGTTTGTTTAATGTATAGCTATTTATCATTTATATGCAGAAAATCTAC